TATATTAAGTCCATCTGGTCTGGTGTTTCATTTAAGGTCACTGTTTCCTTGTTGACATTGTATCTGGATGATCTATCCATTGACATAAGTGGGGTGTTAAGGTCCCCTACTACTATTGTGTTGCTGTTAATTGCTCCCTTTAGGTCCGTTAATAGTTGCTTTATATACTTTGGTGCTCCTGTGTTAGGTGCATGTATATTAATAAGTGTTATGTCTTCTTGGTGGAATGTCCTTTTTATCATTATGTAATGCCCATCTTTGTCTCTTGTTATCTTTTTTATCTTGAAGACTGCTGTGTCTGATATAAATATGGCTACATCTGATTTCTTTTGCTTGCCATTTGCTTGAAGTGTCATCTTCCATCCCTTCACTCTGAGCCTATGTTTGTCTTTAGAGCTGAGAGATGTTTCCATGACCCAACAGCATATTGTTGGGTCTTGTTTTTTAATCCATCCAGCCACTTTGTGTCTTTTGATTGGTGAGTGAAATCCATTTACATTTAGAGTGATTATTGATACATGAGGGATTAATACTGTCCTTTTATCTTTTCTTTTATGGTCGTTGTATATTTCTATTGTTTCTTTTGCCTTGTATTTCTTTCTGCCATTTCAGTTTGGTGATTTTCTGTGATGATTTTCTCAATTTTCTCTTTATTTATGATTTGTGACTCTGCTCTGATTTTTTGTTTTGTGGTTACTATGAGGTTTGTATAAAAGATCTCATAGATGAGATAGTCCTTTTTCTGATAGCCTCTTATCTCCAGTAGCCTATGCAGGTTACATCCTTTTCCTCTTCCCCATCTAGGTGTTTGTTGTCACAAATTATTCCTATTTGTGTTGTGAGTTTGTGATCAAAATGAGATGTTTATAGTTATTTTTGATGCTTTCTTTCCCTTTATCCTTTGTTTTATAATTAATTGTTTGCTAATATATTCTGATATAGAGCTGTGATATTCTGAGTTTGTCTTTCTATTTATCTCCTTGCTCAAAGCCTTGTAAACCTTTGCCTTTTTATTTCAGGTAGGAGGGCTCCCTTCAACATTTTCTGTAGGGTATGTCTAGTGACAATGAACTCCTTTAGCTTTTGTTTGCCTGGGAAAGCTTTCATTTCTTGGTACTATCTGAAAGATAATTTCACTGTATAGAGTATTCTTGGCTAATAGTTTTTGTCCTTCAGTATTTTGAACATATCATTCCACTTTCTCTTAGCCTGTAAGATTTCTGCTGAGAAATCCACTGAAAGTCTGATGAGGTTTCCTTTGTACGTTACTTTCTTCTATCTGGCTGCCCTTAATACTTTTTCTTTGTCATTGACTTTTGACAGTTTTAATATTATATTCCTTGGAAAAGGTCTTTTTGGATTGATGTAATTAGGAGTTCTGTTAGCTTCATGTACTTGCATGTCCCATTCTTTTCCCAAGTTCGGGAAATTCTCAGCTATTGTTTCTTTGAATAAGCTCTCTGCTCATTTTTCCCTCTCTTATTCCTCTGGGATCTCTATAATATCTATGGTATCCTTATGTTACTTTTCCTAATTGAGTCAGATATTTCTCAAAGAATTTCTTCATTTTTTAAAAATCTTAGTTTTCTCTCCTCCTTCACCTGAATCGTTTTTATGTTTCCATCTTTAAGAGCGCTAATTCTCTCCTACATAAGGCCTACTCTATTTTTAATGCTTTATACATTATTTTTTATCTCATTAATTGTGTTCTTCATATCCAGAATTTGTTTGGGGTTTTTAAAAAGCTTCAATCTCTTTGGTAAAGTATTCCTTTTGTTTGTTAACTTTATTCCTGAGCTCATTAAACTGTCTTTCTGAGTTTTCTTGTAACTCATTGAGTTTCTTTATGACAGCTATTTTGAATTCTCTATCAATTAGGTTGTGGTCTTCTGTAACTTCAGATTTGGTTTCTGGAGAGTTGTCATTTTCATTCTGTTCTGCCGTGTTACTGTAGTTCTTCATGGTGTTTGATGAATTGATCCTCTGCCAACACATTTGTGGTAGTAATCACCTTCTCTTATTTGGGTACAGCTTTGATTACTTTGGTTCTGGTTGCTCAGGTCTAGTGTTCCTCCATTGGCTCTCTGCAGGCTCAGATGCTGTTGTCCTGTGCACCACCTTCATTGCTGTTCCCCAGTTGTCTGGGGGTGCTGGTTGTACCACTGCCAAGGGTGCTGGGTTCACGGATGTTGCTGTTGCTAGTGGGGGTCCAGGGACCTGGGGACTAGTATGCAGCCCACTGGTGGTGGAGTTTGCATTGGGGGTGCTGTCACTGGGGGCTGGGTGTTCCCCCATCTACCTGCACTAGTGTGGGTTGGGCCACCACCACTGCCACCACTCCACCAACTGTCATGGGGGGGCTGCCACTGTGCTGCAGCTACCTCCCCAGGGGCATTCGGGTGCACAGAGTTGGGCCACCCTTGCCTCCACTCACAGTCACGCAGGTCACTGCATGAGGATCTGCACTCTCAATCACTGCTGCTGAGGGTGGGGGAGGCGTTGCTCCCCTAGAGGAGTTCTATGAACCATGTAAAGGAAGGTTTAGTGACTGAAGTAAACATTTACATGACATTTGATGTGATTGATCCTTATGGTTGCTTAAGGACAGAGGGAAATTGGTTCAGAAGACATAGTCCTTAATATTTAGCATGATGGGCCAGTGGTTTCAGGGTTATTGTACCCTTTTATAGGCTCATGGTGAAGTAGATGCCTAGGTAGAGTGGGAAAAGAATTGGGTGATAGCAGAGCAGAGATTTTCCTGGTACAAGCCTCAATATAGTTGGAGAAGAGGTGGGAAGTGGTCTTCATGGTGGGAGGAAGGCAATAATAGAAATGTGCACAAGACATTATGAGAGTACAAAGGAGGGTATCTAATGCAACCTGGATTAGAAGTGAGAGTAGATGTGTGATTTGCAGTGAGAAGTGTTGCTATGATTAGAAGTGTTTATAATGCATCTGGAATCCATTAAACCTCAGAAAATGGCAGAGTATTATATTTTAGAGTATTATAGTATTATATTTCAGAGATTCTAGAACTGTAAGAATAGGCAGAAGAGTTCGTATTAACTCTAAAGGCAACCAGAACTATTGAGGAGTTCTGAGGCAGGGAGTGACATAACCAAAGTTATGCTTCCAAGATGGTAACATCATCAGTCTTACATGTGAGGTGGAAAGGAGACTTCAGGCAAAGAGAAGTAGGTCCAAAGAGTTTTCTCCCTGGTTCATCCTTAGAAGCATTTGCCATAATACCAGTCCCATAATACAATGGAAGTTTAGGAAGGGCAAGGGCCCATCTGTTTTGTTCACCACTCTACATTCTGCATCTCACACAGCGCCTGGAATATGGTAGATGTATGACATATGTTGAACAAAACAATTAATGAATGAATAAATGAAAGAAAAGGGCTATTGAAATAGATGTGAGAGAAGTGAGGATCCAAACAAAAGATATGTCAGTGGTGGAAAACGGGGGATGATTCTGAATCTCTTCAAAAAATTAGAATCTATAGAATTTAACAACTAAGTACATATGAGGGTTGGGATAAGGGCAAGAGAAAGAGCAGAGCTAAAGGCAATTCTGAGATGTCGAACTGAATAATAATAGGTAATGTTTTAGGACTTAGTGCACTCCAGGGCTATGCTAAGTGCTGGGCATAAGTGCTTGACCATATATCACCTAACTAAATTCACATACTAACCTTAGGAGGAAGGTATAATTCTCATTTTACAAACAATTATTTCTATAAGGCAGTCGCTCAAATACTAGGCAGTATATTTTACAACCAATTTATTCTGACAAGTTCATCAGGGAGGCACATTGTTTAACAGCTATTTCATAGGTTTATTATTACTAATTTTTTCTGTGGCCAAGGTTACCAACTGATAATTCCTGTTTTGGAGATCCTTTGGGCTACAACTGTCATGTTTGTGCTGTGTAGTATAGAACTGTTAGTCCTGGATTATCCAACTCATTATAACACGTAAGTTAAAAAAATTCTCTCCTCTACCTTTCTGTCTTCCTGTTTATTGATTATTCAACCAATGGGTATTTTTACTGTCCATTAAGTTTAACATGGTTTTTCAAGTTCTGATTATAACTATGAAAATTGTATAGATTATCACAGACATTATTGGTGGCCTCCCCCAAGCCCACCCCTTGCTTCCTTGCTAAAAGAGCTCCAATTTATGGTTGTATCCACTTTTCACACGGCCATGTGCTTCAGGGAAGGTGGGATCCAGCCTCAGCCCCAGAGAGTGAATTATGACCAGTCTAGTCATGGGACAGTGATTAAATTCTATGAAGTTGAAAAAATGTACATAGAAGTCTGCAGGGAGAGTGGGAAGACAGAAAGAACCTGGATTCTTGATCAAATTCCTGGGAAACAAAATCCCTCCCCCTTTTTTTAAAACAATTGTGTTAGGGTTTTTGGTTCTTGCATCTAAAAAGAGCCTAATAACAGACTAACAAATAGAAAGACCACACATTTGTAAGCATTTTGATTGGAGAGGGAGGTATAAGTTAGGGAAGTATTAAATACATTAACATCTTTCTGTCAAATTCAAAAGAATTTGGTAATTCCTTTCAAAAGAATGCATACAACTTATTAAAATACTGTTCAAAATACATCTGCCTTTAGAAGTTTTCCAAAATCTATCCTATCATTTACTTAATTTGACACTTTACAAGGTTGCATCATAATTTCCTGTAGCAAATTCTAATTTTCTTAAATCTAACAAGAATGATAAATAATTTCCTCATATTATAATCTACTATAAGCATTCATATATTCATATATATATATGAATAAAGATACATACATATAAGGTCTATATATATATGTACTTTTTATACCTATACTTTGGGGTAATAGAATGTTAATAAATATGATAACTAGTAAGTCTGAAGGTAAAAATACAGCTTTTACTTGTTGTTAAAAGAATACAATTGAGAAGCTTCAATTGGAGATAAGAATATAGTGAATCAAACCTATTATGAGGTTCACAAATCTATAAACTTCATGTATTTTTGAAAAATTGAGAAGTAACCATTCTTTAGTACATGTAACAAGCTAGTCACAATAAAGAGCAAATACCAAGGCCAAGGCCACATAAGTTTCAGTTTCATGTTTAGCTGCAACCCAGCTATCCCACGCAACATCCCAGATCCATCTGCTGGCAATCTATGAGAGAAATTGTAAAAAGACCAACTTTAGATTGAACAGGTTAAGAAGTAATTTTTAAATCTATACAAGTTTGATTTTATTTAAAAGATGCATCAGTATATTAGAAAGTTCTATTTAGAAAGTAATTTGTCCGACTTTCCTTAATAGTGACTCTACCTGGGCCCATCTTCTCCTTGATTGGAGTGGTAGTTATCTAACAGAGAAAACTCCCTCAGCTGAGAGTGGCCGGGCAGGAACAGGAGGCCCTCTGTGATTTGGGTCTAGTAGCTCTGCATGCAGTACCAGTCTGCTGTGTTAGAGTCCATGATAAGGAATATTCTTCCCACCCTTAAAATATTTTCAACTGGAAGTTCGTTAGGACCTTATCTTGAAATGAAGAAATGGCATTGGTTATACAAGCAGGCTGTTAGAGAAAATCCTAACTCCTTTGCTTCATTTACAAAGCCATACATGATCTGACTACAGCCTACTTTTCTGTGGTGGATCTACAAGGGCCACAAATCCTTTGTGACTTCTCCCATCAAGAGCTTGACTCTATTTTTCCACGCTTTGAATATGAGTTGGCCTTGGGACTTGCTCTGAACAAAAGAATGTGACATTGTGTGACTTCCAAGCAAGGTCTTATGAAGTCTTCTTCTCTTACCTTCTTGGAACACAGTGAGGAAACCCACATGTAAGGAAGGCCATTCGGTCCACTGGAGGATGATGGCTCACATGCAGGAGAACCCAGGTGCCCCAGCCAACAGCCAGCACCAACTGTCAGACACATGAGTGAGGCCATCTTGGACCTCCAAGCCCAGCTGAGTCACCAGATGGCTGCAAGCGTATCAATAAGACCAGCAGAAAACCAAATGGCTAATCCAGGCTAAGCTGACCCACAGATGAGCAAATAAATAGTTGTTGTTTTAAGCTGCAAAATTCTGGAGTGGTTGGTTGTGCAGTAATATTACCTGATATAACGATACCACTCTCTACTACCTACATATACGCAACCACACTGGTTATTAATCAAGCACACCAAGTTCATCCCTGCCTTAGGATCTTTGCACTCCATGTTTGCTCTGCTTGGAAGTTCTTCTGCCTCATCTTTGGCACAGCTGGTTTCTTCTTGTCATTCAGATATCAGAGGGCCTGCCCTGTCTCTAGACAATCCCAAGTTGCTACTCTGTCACATGGCCCTACCTTAATTTTCTCTGTGGAGCACTTATCACCATCTAGATTCTTCCCATTACCTAAGGGTTTATGTAGTAGGTGGTGGTAATTCTTTTCTCCCTGGGAGCCAGGACCACCTCTGTCTTGCTGACTGTTGTGTGGCTAGCACCTCTCTGCCTGTCCAAGTCCTCCTCTCCATGCTTGCGTGAAGCCTAAACAGACTGTGCCCAATCCAGATATTCACTCTCCACTCACTAGAAGCTTACACAGCCTAGTGGTATTGCATTTTTATTTGTGAATATAATAATAACCCTACTGTTTATTGAGGACTCTGTGATGGAGACTGTGTTAAGAATTTTAATACAGATAATCTCATTTAATCCTCACAACAACTCTAGTAAATAGATTTTATGATCCCCATTTAATAGAAGAGAAAACTATGCCAAGCCACAGACAGTGAGTACTGCTGCCAGGATTCGTATCTAGGTCAATCGGACTCCAAAATCTTGGCTGTTACTCTATCTGCACCATTTTATTTTCTTAAAATCTAACCTGTGTTGCTTTATTTCCTTGACTAGAGTAAAAACTCCCTGAGGATCATGGTCCATGTCTTATAATTCTCCGTATTTTCCTTAGTACCTAATATCCATTAGTACCCAAAATAGATTTACTGGTTAATTATAAAAAGACATTAAATTGTCAAAACTAATATGATCAAGGAACAAGATAGCCATACAATTTAATAAATTATTAATAGAAAATTGTCATTTCTAGGTTAGTACTTTTCAAATAATTTACAATGAAAGAAAATATATTTAACAAAATTATCCTTTCATTCAAAAGGCATCTCAGAATCTTGAGGTGCCTTGGAGACATCACAATAAATATCAAATCACTATACAGGAGAGACATTATAGTTCTAATTGATAGATGCTGGATCAATGGGATACTTACATTTATTGCCTGACCAGTCTTTTGAATAAATAATACTTTTATAATGAACTTGTAACGGTGGTACCCAAATTCTTTGACTGCTAACAATATATGGTCTGCTAATTCGAGTGACAAATGAGAGAAGACTTTATCATCGTACTTGACATCTTCAAGACTTTCCTTTAAAAAAATTAAGAAAAATAAATATCAAACCAAATATTTTTCTAAGTAAAAATTCAAGTAGAAAACGTGTCTAAATAATACATACAACCTTTTAAAAAAATATACATATCCCCAACCAAATAATTTTACCTGAATGTTATGCTTACCAATTTATTTCAATAACAATTTTGAAGAAAATTCATCTTGGTTTTTAAGTTATGTTTAATTGCTTTTCATTACCAATGCTTGAGCTGTAAATTTTCCTTTACTAGATTAATCTATCAAACAGTTATTAAGGAGACACAAAGGGAATTTTATTTTTTAATTATTTTTTTATTTTTTTCCCCAAAGCCCCAGTAGATAGTTGTATGTCATAGCTGCACATCCTTCCAGTTGCTGTATGTGGGACGCGGCCTCAGCATGGCAGGAGAAGCAGTGCTTTGCTGCGCGCCCGGGATCCGAACCCGGGCCACCAGCAGTGGAGCGCACGCACTTAGCCGCTAAGCCACGGGGCCGGCCCCAACACAAAGGGAATTTTAAAAGAAAGTTTCTGGGAATTCTTAGGTAGAGGAAAGAAATCTTTTTAAAATGTATATATTTGCTAAAATTCAGATTTGGGTTTTCCTACAGCAAGTGTTACTTGGACCCAGAGCCTACATTGTGTTATCCTGTCTTCCTCAGTCTCCTTGAATTAAAGCCCACTTCTTTCTAACCCTCTCCCTATGGCCACTCACTCTACTGCTCTTTTCTGTGGCCGCCAGGAGAATGCCAAGGAAATCATAGGAAATGTATGGCTGTGGGAGAGACAGATGTGGGCCATGATGTACTACACCTTCCTATGAACCGTAAGTAGACTTGGACCATCTAGTGAGCAGAGGGTACATGTCTTTGATTAATTGATGGACCAGTGATAAATTAGCCAATATTCTGGGTTCTAGTGATAACACATGGACTCCTACTAGCTAATTTTATAGGCATGTAAAACCAAAGACATTACCCTTTTTTAAGTTTCATTTCCCTTCTGGAATTCTTCCAGATCTAAAACCGGGTCTAGAAACATTTATTTCCTCAGGCATTTGGCTGTGGATCTATCTTTTGGACACACCCATTCTCTCTTCTAAATCTGCCTAACAGATTCCAGGCTTTTTCTACCTAAGTACTCCTTTTTTTTTTTTTTTTTTTTTTGATGAAGAAGACTGCCCCTGAGCTAACATCTGTTGCCAATCTCCTTCTTCTTGCTTGAGGAAGATTGTCCCTGAGCTAACGTTTGTGCCAATCTTCCTCTATTTTGTATGTGGGATGCCACTGCAGTATGGCTTAATGAGCGGTGTGTAGGTCCGTGCCTGGAATCTGAACCCGTGAACCCTGGGCCACCGAAGCCCACCACTACACCACAGGGCCAGCCTCCCTAAGTACTCTTTTTTAATAAATGATGAGCGCTTGCTAGGAAGATGCCCACAAGCTCCATTAATATATGGTATTTCTGTCTAGAACTATGTTGTGTTCCCTGAACCCAAGGGAAAATCCCTGGCCTCTTTATTATCCCTAGCCACCCACCTACATATCCAATAAGCTGCTCTAGGCCCCATCATGCTCAATGCAATTCTATAAATTATCATACATAAATACAATTTGAAATCTTACTATATTCAATAAATTTAAACTCAGTCTATGCTGTAGGGCTGAGTGAGAGACACACCAAATGTATACTCTCACATCACAAATGCTTGCTATTAGTGTTTAGATCAGAGAAGAAGGTAATCAATAATTATTTTATTGTATTAAATTCAGTTGAATTTCTTTATTTCCTGAAACCATAAGCCATAATATCTTTGGCAAACATCATCTGACAATTATTAGTTCAGTTTAGAAATGTATCAATATCTGTGGTAGTGGAGGGAGATTGGAGAGTGGGTCTCCTAAATATTCCTCTGTATTAATGTAAGAATTAACTTTTATGTGATTAAAGGGGTATTAATCATTTACACAAAATAAATTAAACCTATGCTTTCTTCCTAAAAGCTAGCTCACATCAGTAGTTACTGAAGGAATACATCTTGTAAATTGTAGGGTAGGTGGTAATTTTAAAACAAGGAACACCTCAGGGGTGGTATTAGGCTGGGTGGAGTCCCACAAAGGGAATCTGGTCATCAGAAAACTCCTGGGTGCCTGGTGCTCCAAAGTAGAGACCAAAGATGAAAATGGAATTCAGAAAAGGTGGTCCCTCAAACCAACTTTCTATAATTAAAAATTTTTTAATTTGGTCCTTTATTAGGAAAGATGGTGAAGGGAATTCTTTCCATCTGGATAATGTAGCCTTCAGATACTGAAACTAGTATTAATATTGGTAAGTATTAGTATTAAAGTATTAGTTTTATAAAATTGAAGCAGCTTTCTTGGACTAGCATGGAAATATGTGTCTGATTTTCAAACTGTCTTAAATGAACTTTAGATTCCAGTCAGTTTAAAGAAGAAAACCTATGCATCAGTTGGAGATTGCCTGTTCTCAAGATGATTTAGTGTGGTCAGGAACCAATTTTTCACATATATACACATATTCAATATGTTCTTTTTCTTACTCATGCCTCCAAATATGGGAGAAACATGGAAACTGAGGGGTAAATAATTTACAGATAATTAAGAGTTGAATGAAATAACAAAAGAATATTCCCTTTAATCTAGCATCAATGTGAAGATTATTGAGTATGATCACAAAGTGCTTTCATATTTTCAGACAAATGCTACAAAAAAATCAATCAGGGTAAACGTACTGCCATAAATCTTAATATAGTTTATCAAACCCCCAAAGCTAAGATATTGCTATCATATGTATCTACCAACTTACCTTCAATATCTGCTGGATTTTAGTTTCTACTGAATGAGCTTGGAATTTTTTCAATGGCTCCATTCTATATGAATTAGCAAACTTTAATTTTGCCAGGGCACTCTTCCATTCTTTACCTATATCAGCAATTGAATCATCAAATGGAGGCTCTACATACTGAACATCATGAAATGATTCTCTCAATCTTTCTCTTAAAATTTGTGCATACTGAAAGAAAGGGAGAGAGAGAGAGGAGGGAGAAATATTACTTTTTAAGAACTTTTTAAATTGTAAATTTACTCACTTTACTCACCTTTACTTTTTAAATTGTAAAATGAAACTGCAGTTTTAAAGCTTGGAATCCGTTATAAGGGACTTCTATGTTAATGTGGTTGCTAAATCCTAGATTCACTCCTGGCTATCAATTTGGTAAAAGACAAAAAAAGAATAGCTATCATTTATCTATTTATCTATAAACACAAATACACACAAACACAAATTTGCATGCATATGTTTAGAATATCCATGGAAGATGCAAAAGAACTAGAAACAAGAGTGGCCTCCAGAGAGGGCAACTGAGTGGCTAGGAGACAGGCCTGTAAGGAAAATCTTTCATCTTCCCCACCCTGAGGTTATGAAAATATTATCCTTCATTGCTGTCTTACAATTTTAATTATTTTAATTTTATTTATCTTTGAATAAATAATATAATTATTTAGGTAACACATTCATAAGTCTTAAGTTGAAAAGATAACAAAAAATATATATATATGTGTTCTCCTCTGAGGGGGTTTATCTGATTGGTGAGTTGGAAGAGGAAGAGCATACTTAGTTCAGAATCTTCCTAGCTCTGCTCTTGGCATCTGATTATGAGGAGTACCTATTATCTGTTCCACCACTGCCTATGTTTTACAGAGATAGAACATCATCTTAGATATATGTCATTGTCCAGCTTTGCCCATGCTATGTGGATGAGCTGGTTTAATTCAAGTAGAAATGTTACCATTTGCCAGCCTATCTTTCATCACTAATAGTTTGTTAATATGGTGAGTTATATTGACTTTTGAATGTTAAAACAACCTTGCATTCCTGGAATAAACCCCACTTGGACATAATATATTACTATTATTTTTTTTTACTGAAAGTTTGTACCTTTTGACCCCCTTCACCCATTTGGTCCACCCCCACCCCATCTCTGGCAACCACCAATCAGTTCTCTGTAACTATGAGCTCAATTTTTTTGAGTTTTTCTTTAGATTCCACATATAAGTGAGATCCTACAGTATTTGTCTTTCTCTGTTTGACTTATTTCACTTAGCATAATGCCCTCAAGGTCCATCTTGCGAATGGAAAGGGTTCTTCCTTTTTTATAGCTGAATAACACACATTGTATGTATACAGACAGTCCCCAACTTATAATGGTTCAACTGATGATTTTTTGATGTTACAATGTTGTGAAAGCAATACATATTCATTAGAAATTGTACTTCAGGGCCAGCCCGGTGGCACAAGCAGTTAAGTGCGCATGCTCCGCTGTGGTGGCCCGCAGTTCGCCAGTTCGGATCCTGGGCATGCACCGACGCACCACTTGGCAAGCCATGCTGTGGCAGTGTCCCATATAAAGTGGAGGAAGATGGGCACAGATGTTAGCCCAGGGCCAGTTTTCCTCAGCAAAAAAAAAAAAAGAGGAGGATTGGCAGATGTTAGTTCAGCGCTGATCTTCCTCACACACACACAAAAAGAAATTGTACTTCAAATTTTGAATTTTGATCTTTTCCTGGGCTAGTGATACGTGGTATGACACTCTCTTGTGATGCTGAGCAGTGGCAGTGAGCCACAGTTCCGTCAGCCACACAATAATGAGGGGAAACATCTGATACACTTTCAACCATTCTGTACCCCTACAACCAATCTGTTTTTCACTTTCAGTACAGTATTCAACAAATTACATGAGATATTCAACACTTTATTATAAAATAGGCTTTGTGTTAGATGATTTTGCCAAACTGTAGGCTAATGTAAGTGTTCTGAACATGATTAAGGTAGGCTAGGCTAAGCTATGATGTTCAGTAGGTTAGAGGTATTAAATACATTTTCAACTTAGAATATTTTCAACTTATGATGAGTTATCGGAATGTAACCCCATCGAAAGTCAAAGAAGATTCTTTATTCATTCATTCATCAATGGACACTTAAGTGGTTCCCGTATCTTAGCTATTGTAAATTATGCTGCAATAAATATGGGAGTGCATATATCTTTTCAAATTCATGTTTGTTTGTTTGTTTTTTTGTGAGGAAGATCCCCCCTGAGCTAACATCCGTGCTAATCCTCCTCTTTTTGCTGAGGAAGACTGGCATGGCTGGAGAAGCGGTGCGTCGGTGTGTGCCCGGGATCCGAACCCGTGACGCCAGTAGCAGAGCATGCGCACTTAACCGCTAAGCCACGGGGCCGGCCCCTCAAATTCATGTTTTTATTTCTTATGGATAAATACCCAGAGGTGGAATTGGTGGATCATATGCTAGTTTTATTTTCAATTTCTTTTAGAAACTCTGTATTGCTTTCTATAGTGGCTGCACCAATTCACATACCTGCCAATAGTGCACAAGAGTTCCCTTTTCTCCACATCCTCTCCAACACTTGTTTTCTCTTGTCTTTTTGATAACAGCCATTCTAACAGGTGTGAGATGATATCCCATTGTCTTTTTGATTTGCATTTCCCTGATGATTAGTGATGTTGACCATCTTTTCATGTACCTGTTGGCCATCTGTATGTCTTCTTTGGAAAATGTCTATTCAGATCTTCTGCCCATTTTTTAATCATATTGTTTGTTTTTTTGTTATTGAGTTGTATGAGTTCTTCATATATTTTGGATATTAACCCCTTATCAGATATATGATTTGCAAATAATTTCTTCCATTCAGTAGGTTACCTTCTCATTTTGTTGATGACTTCCTTTGCTGTGTAGCAGCTTTTTAGTTTTCAGTCCCACTTGTTTTTGCTTTTGTTGCCTTTGCTTTTGAAGTCAGATCCAAAAAAAAAAAAATCATCTCCAAGAACAATATCAAGGAGCTTACCATCTATGTTTTCTTCTTGGAGTTTTATGGTTTCAGGTCTTATGTTCAAGTCTTTAATCTATTTTGAGTTTATTTTTGTTTATGGAGTAAGATAGTGGTCCAGTTTTATTCTTTTGCACGTGGCTGTCTAGTTTTCCCAACACCATTTATTGAAGACACTGTCCTTACCCCATTGTATATTGTTGGGCCCCTTTCTCGTAAATTAATTGACCACATAAGTGTGGGTTTATTTCTGGGCTCTCTATTCTGTTCCATTTATCTATGTGTCTGTGTTTATGCCAATACCATACTGTTTTGATTACTATAGCTCTATAATATAGTTTGAAATCAGGGAGCACGATGCCTCTAGCTTTATTCTTCATTCTCAAGATTGGGTTGCCTATTTGGGGTCTTTGTGGTTCCACAAAAATTTTGGGATTGTTTGTTCTATTTCTGTGAAAAATGCCATTGAAATTTTTTTTGTGTGTGAGGAAGATCAGCCCTGAACTAACATCCATGTTAATCCTCCTCTTTTTGCTGAGGACGACCGGCTCTGAGCTAACATCTATTGCCAATCCTCCTCCTTTTTTTTTTTTTCCCCAAAGCCCCAGTAGATAGTTGTATGTCATAGTTGAACATCCTTCTAGTTGCTGTATGTGGGACGCGGCGTCAGCATGGCTGGAGAAGCGGTGCATCGGTGCGTGCCTGGAATCCGAACCCAGGCCACCAGTAGCGGAGCGCATGCACCTAACTGCTAAGCTATGGGGCCGGCCCGCCATTGGAATTTTGATAAGGCCTGCACTGAATTTGTGGATTGCTTGGAGTAGTAAGGACATTTTATCAATATTAATTCTTCCAATCCATCAGCATGGAATACCTTTCCATTTATTTGTGTCTTCTTTGGTTTGTTTCATCAACATCTTATAGTTTTCAGCGTACAGATCTTTCACCTCCTTGGATAAATTTATTCCGAGGTATTTTATTCTTTTTGATGCAATTGTAAACGAGATTTTCTTAATTTCTCTTTCTGATAGTTTGTTCTTGGCGTATAGAAAAACAATAGATTTTTGTATATTGATTTTTTATCCTAAAACTTTACTGAATTTGTTCACTAGTTCTAACAGTTTTTTGGTGGTGTCTTTAGGGTTTTCTATATATAATATCATGTCATCTGCAAATAGTGACAGTTTTACTTCTTCATTTTCAATTTAGATGCATTTTATTTCTTTTTCTTTCCTAATTGCTCTGGCTAAAATTTCCAATACTATGTTAAATAAAAGTGGCAAGAGTGAGCATCCTGTCTTTTTCCTGATCTTAGAGAAAAATCTTTCAGCTTTTCACCATCGAGTATGATGTTAGCTGTGGGCTTGTCGTATATGGCCTTTATTAGGTTGAGGTACGTTCCTTCTATACTCACTTCATTGAGAATCATAAAAGGATGTTGAATTTTGTTAAATGCTTTTTCTCCAGGTATTGAGATGATCATATGATTTTTATCCTTCATTTTGTTAATATGGTGTATCTCATTGATTGATTTGGGGATGTTGAACCATCCTTGCATCCCTGGAATAAATCCCACTTCATCATAATGTTTGATCTTTTTAATGTATTGTTGAATTCAGTTTGCTAATATTTTACTGAGGATTTTTCCATTTACATTCATTAGAGATGTTGGCTGATAATTTTTTTCTCATGGTGTCCTTGTCTGGTTTTGGTATTAGGGTAATGCTGGCCTCGTAAAATGAACTTGGAAGTGTTAGTTCCTCTTCTATTTTTCGGAAAAGTTTGAGAAGGATAGGTATTAATTCTTCTTTGAGTGTTTGGTAGAATTCACCAGTGAAGCTGTCTGGTCCTGGATTTTTGTTTGCTGAGAGGTTTTTGATTACTGATTCAATCTTCTTGCTAGTAATCATTCTATTCAGATTTTTTATTTCCTCATGATTCAGTCTTATAACGTTGTATATTTCTAGGAATTTATCCATTTCTACTAGGTTGTCCAAATTGTTGGCCTATACTTGTTCATAGTAATCTCTTATGATCTTTTGTATTTCTGTGGTATCAGTTGTAACTTCTCCTCTTTCATTTCTGATTTTATTTATTTGAGCCCTTTCTCTTTTTCTCTTGGTGAATCTAGCTAAATGTTTGTAAATTTTGTTTATCTTTTCAAAGAACC